TCTAGAATCACATGGGAAGAGAGACTTGCCTCCATGAAATTGTCTATGACATTTCTGGGTGAGGGTGGGGTGGCATTTTTCTTAACTGATGAATGTGGGAGGGTCCAGCCATTGTGGGTAACACCTTTCCTAGACAAATGGGCCTGGCTCATATAAGAAAGGTAGCTGAATGTAAGCTTGGAAGCAAGCCAATAAACAGTTTTCCACCATGGTTTCTGCTTCAGTCCTACCTCAGCTTTTCTTTTTGGTGGATTGTAACCTCTATGTCAAATAAACCCTTTCCTTTCCTAAAGTCACATTTTTCCAGTATTGCAACAGATAAGCTAACTAAGAGGGCAATTAGATTGAGTGATAACCTTTCTTCTAGCACAGGATAATTGTGTATATTATTTTCAGTGTCTGGATATGATTTGTGTTACCATACCACTCTTCTCTGCCCGAATATTGTCCTTAGGGTTGCAATGCAATCATTGTTTTCTTTTTTCTTTCTTTCTTTTTTTTTATTACTATACCAGATAATAGTAGATTTGGGTACTTTTTACATCTTACAGCATTGTCCCCCCTCTGTGGCAGTGTTCGTACTTCCTATTAAAGTAATTCATTATTTAAAGTTAGTTATTAGAGTGGTCACTTGATTTTCTAGTAGGCTGGATAATCACATTCATGGTACCCACTTATGTCAGCTTTCACCTAGCATAGTGCTTAACACAAATCAGGTTACTTAATATATGTTAAGATAGGTAATAATTTTATATGATTTACGAATCATTAGAACCAGCAAATATCTTACTTATCATGTAAAGCACCTAACTAATCTTTTTTTGGGGGGGGTTGTTGCTTTGTTTTTTAACAGGGTCTCATTTATATCTGAATTTTAAAACTTTTGTTAATTGTATTGGTCTATGAATTCCAGAAGTTTGGACATCTTTTGTAAAAGGCAATTCTAAACTAAAATGTATTATTCAGTTTTAGTCAAGAAGTTTTGATTGAATTAATTTTTCCTGGAATTCTTAACTTGCCTCCACAGTGTAAGGCTTGTTTTTCAGCACAGCGTCTGGTCCTCCAGGGCATAAGAACTCTCCAACATCTCTGGTTCCTTCAGGAGCTGCCCTAGCCGTGTGAGTGCACAGGAGACATTCCTGAGAGACTGAGTCACATGGTGGTCTGCACTTGTTTTTGTATAGACATGACAGTGAGTCACTGTCTGGAACTTGTCCCCACTCTTCAAATGGGAAGCCTCTAGGCCACTTTTCACTGGCTTTCTGATGGGCGTTCTTCCTTGCCCAGGGCTTTAGGGATAAGGTAGAACTTCCTATTCCTTTTTCCTGTCAGTTGCTCTAAGGTCATGGATTTTCTATCATTTAGAAAATCCCATGGATGGACTTTTCCTTGTTACCTTTTTGTTTGTTTGTTTGTTTCTTAAAAATTACACACAAGCCCTGTCTTTTGAGTTTTAATATTACTGTGTCTTGGTAATAGGACGTTTGCTAAAAAAAGAAGTAAACTCGAGAGCTCTGTCAATCATATTTCTAACACATAATTTATGGGTTTCTAAAAGAAATAACATTTAGAAGTGCTGCACTTTTATCCCTTAAAGTGAGTTTTTTCAGAAGTCCAAATCTAAGACTGACATCTTTTGTCCAAAAAAAAAAAGAAAGAAAGAAGGCAAAAAAAGAAAAGAAAAAGAAAACTAACATCAATTACAACAGTAAGTTGATTAATGGTCATCACTAAAAGTATCTTGTATTAATCCTTGGAACCTGTAAATTTTATTTTATAAAGAAAAAAAAAGATGCTTTTGTAGGTATGATTTAATTAAGGATCCTCACAAGACTTGAATCTTAGACACAATCACATTATGTCTTTAAAGGACAGGGAATAATGGCAGTTGAAAGAAAGGACAGGAAGATGACCATGGAAGCAGACAAGGGCCAGGCACGTGCAAGTCAAAGACTACTGTGAGCAACAAGAAGCTGGAGTGACATTGAACAAATTTTCTCTTGGCATCTCAGCTGATGGTCCTGTCAACATCTTGGTCTTGACTGGATAACACTGCCTTCAGACCTCTGGCTTTCAGAAGTGTTAGGAAGCATATTGTGATGCTTTGAAGTGGAGCACTCCGCAATGATTTCTAACGGCAGCAGCAGGGAATGAACGTGCGTCTCCGCTTGTCACAGCTGCCTCACCTAACTTGTGGGATAGATAGGTGACAACTACCTGGAAGTACATTTTCCTAGTCATCTTTATGAATTTGCTGATTACCAAGATGAGCACAAACTTTTCTTACATTAATAGGAAGTCACGTTTTGGAAAATGGAGTTTAAGGAAGACATAGGGCAAAATATAATATGAATATCATGAATCATTCCTTCATTGAGCTGCATCATTTGATGCATCAACATTTTATTAGTCCATTTAATATATCAAGATTTGTGCAAAGACCTGTATTAAGACTAAACAAGGCAGAATGCTTATTTTTATGAAGCCTACTTTATTAGAAGAGATAAACACAGACATGCATAAAACTAATCCTGTGGAAAATGCAATAATGATCTTGCACACAAGGTATTGTGACTACACCAAAGGTCACACATCTAGATGAGCCTGTGTGTTTAGGGAGAGAATGCTGTTTAGTGAATGCTTCATGCCTCTCTGCCCAGAAAGAAAGGAGGATAGTATTGCTGGATGAATAAATTTTGACCATTCATTTCCCACTGAGGATGTTAGACAGGACTCCTGTGCTAATCAAGTAGGGTATAATAAATCAAGAACATTTATAAGCCAGGTTTGCTGGGATGCACCTGTAACCTCAACACTCAGAAAGCCGAGGCAGGAAGATTGCAGTAAATTAGAGGCCTGCCATATTAAGACCGTATTTAAAAAGTCAAAGCAAGAAGTCAAACAAACATGATTTGTATGCCTCTGTGTGTGTGTGTGTGTGTATGTATATATGTTTCCAAATGTCTGTGAAGACATGAGGTTGCTGTCTTCATTGTTCTCGACCACCTTTATTTTCAAAGTCAAACTGTATCCAACTTTCTTAAACACAGTTTTCATAAATAATCATGGCTTTTTAGGAAAAGCATGGTCAGACATCAGGAATAGTATTTAGGCATTTTCAAAGTCCCTTCTTGGATGAAATATCAACATCAGAATGACAGTATGAAATCCAATGGGTTCTGCAGTTGATGATACTTTGAACAGGAGACTTTCTGAGAGAAGGCATTTTAGGTAAGCCTGTTGTTCAGTAATGTTTCCCAAGCCACTCTTGACTTCCAAGGAATGAAATACATGTAGAAGAATTATCATTCTGAGAAAACGTAGTCTTTTAGAAAAGGAACTGCCTCTTTTCCAGGAACATCATTTCAGTAATGTCCCTACAAAATTCAGTCCTTAACACACTAGCAAAAACAATTTTTTTAGGTGGTCAGGTCTAAACAAGTATTTCATTTTTGAGGAGTTAAATCTCTTCTTGATGGAGGGAGAGGACGATATGAAAAGATGTTTTGAGTTTTCCTACACCACAAAACATTTCGTGTGAAGGTGGCTAAATATCAGCATCAGAGAAACCCTTCTGGGAGACATGATGGACCTTCCAAATCGAGGAGACTAAGAGCTCCAGGTGCACACCAGATCTTTCTTTGGTGGAGGCACTCCCGAGTCTGTCCACGCAATTTCCCTTCTTCTTTAAGTATAACCTTGACAATAAGATTTTAGTATTCCTTAGAGGTAGTATGGTACTCAAAGCCTCTTGAGGAAGTGTTCTTGATTCACTCACGCTAGAGACAGGTTACACGGTAAAATGAGACGACAGGAAGAAATGTGTGTGGAGATCAAGTAGGATATGATACAGATTTATACCAGTGTTTCAAACGGAAGGTTGGAATCATTTCACAGTATCTTAATTTAACTCAGATATAGACATTGCTGAAGTAAGGGGACATGCTTTTCATTAAAATTTAGTTTCAACTATATTCCATGGCCAGTGTGATAAAATGCATTTCATTTCAAAAGAAAAATCTCAGATGTTACAAGCTCAGGTTAAGCTTTTCTGTCACCTGTTAAGTATGTTAATAAACTCACTGAATACTGATTACGCTACAGACATTATTTCATGCGACTGTTTAATTAATTAACTATGCCCATTGCACTGTCCACACCCTTCCATGGAGCTCTGGCACAAGTTTGAGAGGTTCTTTTTACCTACCTGACTTTGCAATTCAGCAGCATAAAAGCACGCTTTCCTTGAGGGAATCTGAGCTTCCCTAAAACTACTGAAAATGATGTCAGTGTTAACTCTTTGCCTGCCTGGTTTGTATTTAGCAAGGTTTACAATGTTTAACTCCAGATAGGATGAGGAGATTAGAGAGGCAAAGGGAGACTTGGGCTTCTGACTGCGAAGTAGCATTTGTTTGTAGGTTGAGCTACTCAGAGGTCTGGCGGGATAGGGAATGCTAATACACAAAGACTACTTCCGGCTCACATTCCCATACCAAGTTTCTTTCTTTCAGCAGCTGAACTTTTTTTTTTTTTGGTGGGGAAGAATGGTCATGGCCATTCTAAAGGAAGTAGGTGTGTGTGCGCGCCGGGATGCAGAGAGCGTCCCTGTGTTTCCGATTCTCACATCTGTTGGGGGGTGGTGGAAGGGAGGAGGGATTGTCTGCAGCTGGGGAGGCCCGGCTGGAGGCTGCAGGGGACGCCTACACCTTCCCACCCGGGACATCCTGAGCCGCCGCCACAACAACAGGCTCGCGCGAGACAAAGGGGCCGGCGCGGGGCGGTGCGCGGGGCCAGGGGGCGCGGGGAGGCGAGGCTGCGGCTGGCGCTGGTGGGAGCCGGGGCGGGGACCTCCTGCCCGGCCTCCGGACTCGGCCCAGCCTTTGACCCTCGATCCCCCGCCGCCCCCTGCAGGCGGCGACCCGGGAACCGCCGCCCCGGCCTCAGCTCGCTCCTTTCGGCCCCAAACACCGAGCGGAGCGCAGCGGACCGGCGCCGGCGGCATGGCGGTGTCCTGGAAGAGCTGGCTAGCCAACGAAGGGGTTAAACACCTCTGCCTGGTAGGATGGCGGGCTTCGCTGGCCAGGCAGTCTGTCTGTCCCGCGGCGAGTTTGATTTCATTCTCGAAATGTGCGCGGGTGGGATGAGAGGAGTGGAAGTTTGGGGGTTTTGTTTCCGACTTTCTCACCTAACTGCAACTTTACGCATTACTGGAGATAACTTTACTGCAGTTTGATGGGGAGCTAACACAGCTTTTCAAACACTTATCTCCTTTGCCCTTCCAGTTGTTTCTATTGGGCATTCCACGGACCATAGTGATACCACTAATTTCTCAGTCTCAATTTGCACTGAAGTTGGGGAAGTAAGGTATCTGCAGGTCATTTGGTGATGCATTTGCCACCCGCCTTTATTTCAGGTACAGGGTCTGGGTAAGGGCAAAGGAGTGTCCTCAGAGTGGCTTTTCCACTTTCTGACTGAGCATGCTTTCAGTCAACGCTGAGATTGCATGTGCAGCTTTCAGAATAGTGAGTGGATTCTATCGGGTCATGTTTTTTTTTTTTTTTTTCTTTTTTTTTTTTAATTAAAAATTTTCTTCTATCTCTTTGATTGGTCTAGCTCATTTGGCTGTCCCTAAATGTCCTGCTTTTCTGGAAAACCTTCCTGCTGTACAATCAAGGGCCAGAATACTACTATATCCACCAGATGTTGGGCGTAAGTGAAACTGGGGTGACCTGGTGTAGTGGGTTTAAGGCAAGAGACTGCTTCAGAATTTTGTCAGACCATCCTTTATCTTAGTAATGTTTGCTGTAAAGGTAAGAAACATGTGTTTCTCTCAGAAGTGGTCAAGCTTCTTGATTTCTCATTTAGTTATTTAAGGACCAAGGGTAGTACCTGCTAAAGTGAGGTAGATGAACCTGTCAGACCAGGCTATTAGTGCCTGGAGGAAGTTGCTTTTTTTTTTTTTTTCTCAAGATGCAGCACCAGGGTGCCCTGAAGGATTCCCTTCTCCAGGAGGACCAGCGATGACAGGCTGTTAGCCTACTGTAATCAAGGCTTTCCAGTCTGCCCACAGGACTCCATTACTGTTTTCTTTTACTGACAGTTCTCACAAAGTGAGCTGTTATTTATTTCTGGGTATGGTTTTTGGCTGGCTATGGTTCTGTTCTGAAGATAATATCATATAAAACTCTACCCTGGTTTATTTCATGTTTATATTTCTCTGTGTTCTGTTTCTCACCTCATTTTCAAATTCTATACCCACTGTACCAGACCCTATAAAAGGTAGTATCTCCAAGAACATTTTACTTTGCGTAAGGAGACAATGAAAGTGTAAAATGTGCTATAAAATCTCAGGACACCTGAGCAAGCAGATTTGTCATCCTCTCTGGAGAGGAAAACACATCTAAAGAGGAGACTTACTGCTTTGTTTTACATAAATTTGTAACTATTTAAATTACTTCAGATGAAGCCAGTGCAAGTAAACCTTCCTTTCATGGCTGGCATATGAAGCCTTAACTTTAGCCTTAGTACTTTGAACAGTGATTACCACATGTCAAACCTCCAGTAAGATGAAGATGAATTAATTGATAATTTTTTGAACCAGAGTACTGTATTTAAGATATAAGTTATGACATCTTTTCAACATTTAATAGCACTAGTTTTAACTAATGGGTTCAGGAAAATAGTTTCAGAAAAGAAAAAAGAAAAAAAAAA